ACCTCAGCTTTTGTCTCAGGTAGATGCAAAGCTCAGATCTCTGTGAAGCTGAAGCAAAACCTCTGACCCCTCTCTGCTTCTTCCCTTCCCCCTACTCCTTTCTGGTTTTAAAATGTAGTCCTGTGGGAAATTATGGTTTGACTGTGGGAGTTAAATGCTCCAAGGCCTTGTGGAATTCCAGCAGTGGCATACTGTGGAATCTGCTTAATTGCTCCATATCCATCACCAAAATACAGCAGGTACTGAATATGTAGTGTATATTTTTTCCATCATTTTTTTCTCTTTCTTGTTTTTCAATAGCACGCCTGGGACCACCAGAAGTTAATGTAACTCCTTGTCTAAACTGCATAAATGTCACCATGAAGCTGCCAACCTCTCACTACAGAGAAAAGGGAAAGCTGCTCTCTTTAATTGCTATCTATGAAGAGCTTGATTATGAAATAACACTGAAATCACAGGATGGAGAGGATAAGGTAAAGAGCATTGGGGTTTATTTGTGCTTTCGGGGAGAAACACAGAAAGCATAAAAGGGTGAGCAGGTCCCCAGGAGCAAATATGTGAGTGGAAGCAAAAGAAAACACAGAAATGTGTTTTCTTAGAAGAAAGACAGTGGCCAGCACAATCTTTTACCACAGAGTAGCATGTCTGGGAGAGTGACCAGGGATCTCTTTTTAGGCTGATAACTGACTTTAAAACATTGACTTTCTTTGGCAGAGGGCACAGGAGAAAACCACTGAAGAAGTTTTCAGTACTGTCATTGAGGAATTGTATCCAAGTAGGAATTACTGTGTGTCTGTTGTGGTCTCTGCATCCCTGAACAAACTTTCCATCCCCTCGCCCTGGAAATGTGTCCTTTCAGGCTCCATGGCTCGCCCAGGTAACTGTGCTGGAAGGCTTTGTCTGGGTGGGTGGTGTGGGGACATCTACAACTCAATCCTGCAGAATGATAGGTGATATGGAATCATGGAATATCCTGAGCTTGGAAGGACTCCCAGGGCTCACCCAGTCCAAGCCCTGGCCCTGCCCAGGACACCCCAACACTCCCCCCTGTCCCTCGGAGCGTTGTCCAAACCCTCCTGGAGCTCTGGCAGCCTTGGGGCCGTGCCCACTGCCCTGGGGAGCCTGGGCAGTGCCCACCACCCTCTGGGGGAAGAACCTTGTCCTGAGATCCACCCTGAGCCTGCCCTGTCCCAGCTCCAGCCCTTCCCTGGGTCCTGTCCCTGCTCCCAGCGAGCAGAGGTGAGGAATTGTATCAGAGAGAAAGTACCTTCCAAGAGAGAAACATTGGGAGGGTTTGTAAGTGAAAGACAAACCCCATCCACTCTGGGGCAACAAATCTCTTGGCAGTCCTGTGAGCCACACAAACCTCCACTCACTGCAGAAAGATCAAAGATGGTGTCATTTCTTTTTTAATTCCTGAATCTAATTTGAGATTTGGTCTTGTTTTGACTTTGACTTACCCTTCTAACCACAATTATTCTCACTAGCTGTTGTGAATGTGGGGTATGAACTGTGGTGGTGGTGCACCTCATTCATTTCTGTTTATTGATTGTTTTTCCTGCCCAGGTTATCATTTAGCTGCAGTGGCAGGTGCTGTGTGTGTCTCACTGGTAATAGGTGCTGCCTTGAAGTGTCTGCATGCAGGAGGTTATTTTCTTCAGGGCAAATCACTGCCACATGCCTTGGTATGTAATAATTCTCAGATCTAACCTTTCTGGGTGGGAGGAGGAAGTTTACCTCCTGGAATTTCTAATCCTGTGCATTATGTACAAGTTGTGTAAGAACACAGAATGTGTAATTTGCAGATTGTTTAATTCACCTCTGTCAAAGATAATCTTCAGGCTGCTAAGTCTTGTCTGATCTTAAGAACAAATATTCGGTCTTTCTGAAAACCATTTTTTTTCTCCTTCTGTGACAAGTTACCAACAGAGATAGAGCATCATCCCCCACTACTGAGTGCTTGTCAGGAATATTCTGCCCAGTTCTGGTCCTCACAGCACAGCAAAGATGTGGGCAGACTGGGGAGGGTCCAGAGCCTGGCCCTGGGGGTGAGCAAAGGGCTGGAGGACCTGCCCTGGGAGGAAAGACTGCAGGAGGAATTGGTCCACTGTTGGGAATGAAATAATCACTCTTTTTCTGTGACCAAGTGTTCTGGCACTTGAGGAAGCCAGTCCTGAGCCAGCTAATCTTTTATTTTCATAGGAGAGACTGAACTGCCACTAGATTTCAAGGAAAAATGTTCCTATCCATCTTTGCTTGCTTGTTTTATTTTTATAGCCTCCAATTTCTTTTACATTTGATTCTGTGGGGTTTTTCCAGCATAAATATTTTCCATTTTCTGCAAACATACCCAGAGCAGATTGGTCTCACCTTTTTCTGAGACTTTTTGCCTCGTTTCTATTCTTTGCTGTGTCGTTACCTTCACATCCCTGAAACTGCTGAACATGACTTTGCCAAGCAGTGTCTAAGGCTTATTTTTTTATTTATTGTCACCGTTTTCCCTCAATGCTTTGGATATTAAATAATCCTCCGAAGTGCAGGGGGAAAATGGGGCTTGGGATGTTAAAATTGCTTGAAATAGTAATTTCTAAAGGACAATAAAATTGATCAGGTAACTGCAAGAGCTCAGAGAGACTTGCAAGACTTGGCTCAGGTTTAAGATGTGTTTCTAAAATGAGCTTTTAGTCTTAGAAAGAGACCTCAGAAATCAGAACTAAATCATTACATACCTGACACTGCTTGGCACTATTGTCATTTTGTTTCTGTGGCTGCCCAGTGTGCCTGGATTTGTAGTGAAGGCTGTCGTNTGGGGGGGGGGTTTGGGGGTGCTGAGGGTGTGGGGAGCGGGTTTGGGGGTGCTGAGGGTGTGGGGAGCGGGTTTGGGGGTGCTGAGGGTGTGAGGAGCGGGTCTGGGGGTGCTGAGGGTGTGAGGAGCGGGTCTGGGGGTCCCGGGGTGTGGGGAGTGGGTTTGGGTGTCCCAGGGTGTGGGGAGTGGATTTTGGGGGTCTCGGGGTGTAGGGAGCAGGTCTGGAGGCTCTCAGCGTGTGGGAGCAGGTTTTGGGGCCCCGGGGTGTGGGGAGTGGATCTGGGGATCCTGAGGGTGTGGGGAGTGGGTCTGGGGGTCCCCGGGGCTCAGGGGAGCAGCCAGCTAAAAAATAAGAAGTAAAAAAAAACAGTTTAAAAACGCCTATTCCACAGACATCCTTCTCTCTAACCCAAACCAGTCCGGGAACCTGGGATTCCAGGACGCCCATGTCAGGGGTCACAGTCTGCAGAGAAGGAACCTTCCAGCTCCTTGGGGCTCCTTCCAAGAAACTGCCCAGGGTTTCTGCGTTACAGCCACGGGCTTTTTGTCCCGTTTGTCTAATCAGGTGTTGCTGTCATTGATGCTGGTGAAATGAACCCAGCAAAAAGTGATGCTGCTTTTGAAACCCTGAAATAAACGTTTACCATGTTGGCAGCTGAGTAAAATTAGGACAGCGATCAAAGGTTAGACAATGACATTTAATGTTACTCCAGTAATAGATTTTATCACTTTTTTTTTAATCCTACCACAACGATGTGTATTTTCATATACATTATATTTCATAAAATGTCTTGATATGGAATTAGGAAAGCATGGGTTTAGTACTATTTACATATTTTAATTGAAACAATTTTCTTAACAACATTGAAAAATAGAAACTTAAATTCTCTAAATCGTGTTTTCAGCCAGTTAGTGGTAAACAAATGCATGCCTAGGAAGTTACACTCCCTCTAAAACGTGGTCAGTTGAAAGTTTCTAACTAAAGTGTGTATCTCTGTTTTGTTTCAAAAAATACATAAGTATGTCTGTCATTTCTGATACAAAATTCTACACTATCTTCAATAAATAAATAATAAAGCGATTCTGAAAAGTATGAAATGTAAACTTTGTTGTCCCTCCAACATACTTTTTTTTTTTTTTCTTCCCATTGCTTGAAACATTACAGTGGTCTTTTAGGAAATTATAATACACAGACACTTCCCAGCACAGTTTACACTTATTACCATACGGATCTACCTACCTGTTATGGATATATCCTAATTTCCTAATGGAAACCAATAAGACTTGTAGTGCTAGAGAACACCACCAACACAGGAGAGGTGGGAACCAGGACTGAAGGACATGCAAGGAACACCAAAACCCAACAACAGGCTCCACGAGAACGTTCACATGCGAATGACACAGGCTGGCACCTCCCATCCGGAATGAAGTCCTTACAAAAATACCAGTGGATGCGTGGCAGGGCATGAACAGAATGAATCCAAGCAGAACAAAGAGGAATTTGACTCTCGGGGCTCTTTTCCCTCTCGAGTCCAGACTCAGCAAAGCCCTTACGCGGGTGCTCCGGGGACACCGGACGTAAGTGCCCGCTTGGAGCCGGGGCTTTGCCAAACAGGGATGTGGGCCTGGACGTGTGTGTCCATGGAGCCAATGGATAGGGAAGCCCTGGCGCTCCCCAGCGTGACAAGGCTTTGGGGTTCCCCACTCTGCACCGTCCCAAGCTCTGTCTCTGGTCACATCCAGCACAGCCACCAACCTCTGGGAGCTGCTGCCCCGCTCCCATCACACCTTGTCCCACACAGGTGAGCCCAACACAGGCCAGTACCTGGGCACCACTGATTGCTTTGAAACCACACTCTGCGGGGTGGGACTTCCCTTCCTGAGCTGGAGCCGTGATTGTTTTTTCTTCCCCACTGCAGGTGACAGATCACCCACCTGGGCAGCAGCAGTAAAGGAGTATCCAAGTGGTACAGCAGGACACACACAGCAGGGCTCTGTGCTTAACCCCTGGCTTCCTGTGCCAACATTTACAGTCCTGTGGACAACAGCAACTTCCAAAGGTATCGAGGGGGTGCACTCTTCTGGAGTGCAATTCATCTCTGTGCAGGAGGCCTGGACATCATTTATTTTCAGGGGCAATGCAAGTCATGAAGTGGTTTGTTAATAGAATCTTCTCTGTTTATAGATATAGACTATTTATTTTCTAAGTCTTTTCAGTACCATCATGAAGATCTTCAAAGATCTTCTTGCTGCGAAACTGCTCCTTCCATTCATGTCCCATTTACACCCCACTTTGCTGAGCAATAGGCACAGAATTCCTTCACGGGAAAACCCTGCAGAAAGCCTCCCAAACATCCCAGCATTGCCTTCTCCATGGAAATTCAAGAGTAGGGCAACTGGAGCAAGCACAGCCACCTCTGTGGTTTGCCAGCCGTTCCCACTGGAGCTACAAGGAACAACAGGGTTGTTTCATCCACCCAGGAGACCAACTCCAAGTTCCACATTGAGAGATTGAGGGAGATCTCCTCACTAAACCGGGATTCGTGTTTTCAGTGAGAATTATCAAGGCACAAAGATGCTCCTGTTTGCTTTGATAACCCTCGGAGGTGTGAAGGGCGAGCAGTGGTTTCCTGCCACACCAGCCAGGACTTTGTGACAGCTCCCGCAGACCCCGACGGGCCGCGGTGACCTCGACCGAACGCCAACGGCCCCTGCCCTCCTACGGCTCGTCGAAGAGCTGCAGGTCCAGCCGCACCACGATCTCTCCCGTCGGCACTTCGTGCAGGAGGAGACACTTCGTGACCGGTCCCTTTGAACCCTGATCCTTCTTGATGTCTGCCACACGGATCTCTGTTCTGCCCAGGAAGTCTGGAAGGCAAAAAGAGGGAGTGCTCAGGAACGGCACAACCGGGGTCTGCGGAAGGAACTAAACTTCCACCCCCCACGCAACAAAAGGAAGACACGAGTCTTCAGCCCGATTCTGGTTTTGCCCTTGTCAAGGGCCAAAGGCTGCCAAGCTGCACAGAGGAGGGTTTAGCCAGACCATGTTACACAGCAGCAGCATTCCAAGTAAATGTGTGGAAACCCCCCCTACGGAATTCATGGCTGCCTCAATCCAGTGACTTCTGGATTTTATGACATGTTAGAAAAAGGCCAAAAGCTGCTGCACAGTTAAACCCGAGTGTGAACCCTCTGGAGATGACAGAGCCAAGAAGTGCCTCACAGCAACAACAAGGTCACTGGGCCAAGTGGTGCTGGCCATGGCAGTGCCAGTCCTATCCAAACACTGCCTGGGAGATTATGGCTGCAAAATACACTCGCTGATGCTCCACCTGTTTATCCCAGGTTATGAAACTAGAATGAGAGAGGCTGTGGACTCCCCAACCCTGGAAGTGTCCAAGGCCAGGTTGGATGGGGCTTGGAGCAACCTGGGCTGGTGGAAGGTGTCCCTGCCCATGGCAGGGGGTGGAACTAGATGATCTTTAAGGTCCCTTCCAACCCAAACCATCCCATGATTCTACTGGGTTTGGAATCCTGCGTTCACCTTTGCCACTGTTCCTGCACATAACAGGAACTTGGAGGCATTTATCTTCCTCCTGCAGGAATCAATCTGTTTGCAAACAGCATCCAGAGTTTTTGGAGACTTAGCAGAGCTACAAATCACACTTTGGTTGTTGCCAAGTTGCACAAGAAAAGGAACTCCCAAAAACCAGAGAGAGATGGATTCTTTTTGCACTGATACCGGCACAACTGCACCAGGGAGCAAGGGTGAGCCATCTCCCAATATGCAAAGGGGTTCAAATCTGGGGTATCTTTAAAAACCATCTTTCAACCCAACCAATTCCTTATGATTTCTGTCAGCAGGAATGCACCTCCTCAAAGCAGGAGAATGGAAAATCCCTCTGGCAGCCCCTACGCACCATCCGGGGAGAACTGGTCCCGCTCGAACACCGTGATGCAGAGCACGTCCTGCTCCAGGTCCTTGATGAAGAACTGGCAGTTGGAATTCCACTTGGGGTTCAGGGTGTCCTGTATGGTCTTGGTGATGTGGCACTGGGAGCCCATGGTCACCTCGCAGTAGGGGTTACTCTTTCCTGGGACAAACAGAACAGTGTGATCCTCGTCCTCAATCTCCTTCCACTCCTACAGCCCTTGGGGTGGGAAAGACCTTGGCTTCACTGCCCTTGGGATGAACTCCATGAACATCACAATGAACACACTGCTCCGCAGGGGGGTGAGCACCTTCTGCTCCTCCCTGCAGGACTTTGTGCCTTGTGATCCCTTAGGATATGGCTGATGTGGTGGGAACCAAGTCAGCCTGAAACAAATGTCTGATGCGGGACAACTGCAGGACAACAGCCGAGCTGCACAAAGTCACTGCTGCATATTTTACCTTCGTTAGACCCACATCATTGGGCAAAGCCGTGTTTGGGACAGAACCTCCTCCAGAGCCAGGCTGACAAGTGGGAATGTCCCTCTGATGGAGCACGTTCTGAGAAAGCCCAGCACTCACCATGGGACCTGCAGGGTTTCAGCTCGATGCCTTCCACCACGTTCACCATCAGCCTCCCGATGCCTGTTGCCCTTTGCGAGCGAACTGCGGTGAAACAGGAGAGAGAGAAAAGTCATCAAAGGATTTTCCTGTCCATGGACTTCTCCACAAAAGATGAGACCCCCTCATCCTATGCTGTACCTAAGTAGGCCTTTTCCCTCTTCTTCTTTTCAGTCTCTATGTAAAGTTCTGAAGCAGCTTTGATCTTCTGAACCCAGGCAGTCCTTCAGAAGGAAAGGAGAAAACAAAGTTGCAAAATGCCATTTCCATTTTTCCCTGCCGGAGCACAGCAGGTAGAAAACTAAAGCTGTCCCTCCTTCCCAGCCAAGGCTCTGGCCCCACCCCAGCCTCTGCTGTCCCAGAGCTCTCTGCCTGGAAGAGATCTTCCTGGAATTTGTAGCGCCTGCTGAAACGGAACCATCCCAAGCCAGCAGATCCCACCACACAAAGAAAGCTCAAGAGAACCACAAGCAGGAGCTACTTGGCGAGAAACCAAAAGGCAGAAAGAACAGGTTTGCTTTCACCAAGCCCTTTGCTTTATTATAATGAACTTCTTGTAGCCAGTAGGTACAAGACACCTGGGTTGCAGAGGTGGCCCCTTACCTTGATCCCTGAGGTTTCATCCTAAAATCCTCTGGCCCTTGGGACATTTAAAACATAACTTGGGGGGTACACGGATGGTGAATGAACACAGTGTCTTATGGGCCCTTCTGGGGAATCATTTCATCCTTAAGAATCAGAATTACAGACTATCCTGAGTTGGACGGGACTGACAAGGATCACTGAGTCCAAGCCCTGTTCCCAACAATCACACCATGTGCCCGGAAGAGACTGAGTGGAAAGACTGACAAAGGAAAAGGGTGGCAGAAGGGCTCCCCAGGGACCCCAAGGGTTTAGAGGAATTGCTGTGACACACAAGGGAGCCCGAGACCTGAGCCAAGGAAACGTGGGGAAATCTCAAAGCTGTGGATCTGCTTCTGAACCCGGAATGAAGAGCTGCTGCTCCACAGGAGCACATGGTTTGGGTTGGGAGGGACCTTAAAGCCCATCCAGTCCCACCCCCTGCCATGGGCAGGGACACCTTCCACCAGCCCAGGGTGCTCCAAGCCCTGTCCAACCTGGCCTTGGACACTTCCAGGGATCCAGGGGCAGCCACAGCCTCAAGATGTTTCGTACATTTTGTGCCTGAGAATGTTTCAGGACCGGACATTTCTCAGCTGGCACAACCAACACAATGTCTGCACTGTGGGGAGGGCTTTGCTGCACTTCCAGCTTTCAGTTTTTAACAAAAGTTACCTTTCAAGACTTTACATTGGGGAAGAGAAACCTTTTCAGTATAAATCAGTGTAGGCTTCTCTCTGTAAGCTCACCAGAGATAAAACCCATCAGCTCAGGTTTTAAGGTTGCCTTTCCTTTGACTTTTCCAGTCTGAACTGAACGAGATAAACTCACTGGGTTTAGTTTGGTAGGTTTTGCTTCATATTCTAATTCTGACCTGTTCTTTGATCTCCTTCAACAGCCATATAAATGCTGTCACTGCACAGACACACAGCCGGTAACAGCAGAAGGCACAATTGCATCTTTTGGCTTCTTCACATTAACATAAAATGTTGTGAGATACGGCCTAAATATCCACCCTCCCAGATGTTTCATTCTTGCTGGAATTCAGGAAACATCACCATTTCTCCCTGCTTTTCATATACTGACTATCACCATATTCCCAAGAAGAGGGAATTTTCCAGTCTTGTAAAAGAAACTGCTTGGAGACTGCTCTGCAAGTTTCCATCATAACCATTCCCACCATCCACTTGCACCAGACTTCACAAACTCAGCCCCAACACGGCCTTTGGAGACTCTTACCTCTCATTAATGCTTTCAGCCCGCAGGGTGTAGACTCTGTCAATGTGGGAGATGTGGAAGATGGGCTCATCTCCAGAAGGGTCTGTGGGTAATTTTACCAGTACCTCGTTTAGAAAAATGGGCTGTAAAACATCAGGCAAAGCCAGAGTTGTACTGCACAACGTCTGAGCAGGCGCTTTCAACACACAGCAAGTTACAACAGGTTTAGCTGAGGTGCCTCTGCCCTTCTGCCTCCCATCTGTCTTCAGATTGGATAATGGGAAAATTTTAAAAATTGGCAAAGACAGAGGTGCCTCCAGAGCCTGGAAACACTTGTCCTGGAGGAAGCCAGCGGGCTCCTGGAGCTCAGCAATCCCTCCTTCCCCACAGAGAGCAGCGAACAGCGCTCTCCCCGTCGCTGCCTGATACAAAAGTGACCCTTTGCCGGAGAGTTCTGTCCAAGCAAAACTTCAAAAGCATGTTTTGTTTTCTCACTAAAGCAGACGAACTTTCTCCCCACCAGTCCCAGCAATGCCCAGAGTATTCCAAAGCTTTCAAAGCTCTTCTCTGGGACGGTCTTGCCCACACCCCCAGCTTGGAGCTGCTGCCCTGCACACGTGGCCTGTCACCGCCCCCATTCCAGAGAGGTACTTACAGTTTTGTACATTTTGTACTGCAGGTTAGACTTGGGGCTGAACACCTTGTCTGTGCCCGAGGAGCCAAGAGGTTTTATGATCTGAGTGAGGAGGAGGAAGTCGTTGAACAGAAAACCATAGAGCTCCTTGTTACTCTTGGCTTTATAGAGCTTCCCACTGTGCAGGAACTTGCGTGGTCCCAGGCAGTTTGTGACTGAGTTAAATACGAGTTGCTGCGAAAAGTAGAAGAAGAACAACAACGCACTGTATAAAGTGAAACAATCGGGGTCCCCCTGAAAGAGACCAGATACAGTTTTGAGTCCTGGGTTGGTCCTGAGCCGGCTCACAGGATGAGGAGCAGGACGAGCAGTGCAGGTCAGGAAAGGCTGCATGAAAAGTGACTTTAGGGCGGCCCATCATCACACAGGCACGGCCTGGGCACTCGGGGAGAAGCCAGAAGCATCTGTGCCCCCTCCCCACGCACATGCACCTCTGGGAGTGGAGCTGAGCCCACCAGGGCCTGTCCTGGAGGAGCAGCAGCACCTCTGCCAACGGCCTCTCTGGAGCCTGGGCTTCCTTCACAAGGTTTGCACTTCGAATTGTGCTTGAATTTCACCCCCCAAAGCACCCCAAAGGAATTCCAGGTAGCCCCAAACCCCGGGCAGCTGCTGACACTGGAAGGGGCAGAATCACAGCCCCACCCAGGGGTTGTTACCACATGAGCAGGGTGTGGCCCTTCCCTAAAGCGCCGTGTCCAGGTTTATTTTCACCAGGGGATGGTACAGTTCTTACCACCCTCCCTGACTGGGCAGCTGGATCAGGGCTGGCTCCTTTGACAGGTTGGAAACCCCTCAGAGAGAAACTGGGGAGGGCTGGATTGCTCCTTCCCCCCAGCTGAGGCTGCTGCTGCTGCAGTTACTGTGGCAGAAGCAGCCAGAGGGTCTTTCAGGTTACAGATTTGGTGCTCTAGGGCCAGACATCACCTACAGAAGAAAAAAGTAGCCACCTTCCTTCAGGCAGTGGTTGTCCCACAGCTGAATGTGTCTTTGACCCTTCTGACCTTGTCACACTCATCTTTCTCCCAAAACAGTCAGATTTCCTGAGGTGAAATACAATTTTTTTCTAGTTTGTAAACCAACCAGTGCTTGTTATTTTTTTACCTTCTAGAACTGACAACTTGGTGCATACTTTGAAAGTCAAGTTGTGATCTGTCTGCCTCTGTTATTGTCACCAACACAGGAAGGCCATCAAAACATGCCCCCTCATTTTGCAGGACATACAGGCACAATGTTTTCATTACAGTTTCTAGTGAAACTTAGCATGCTACCTGGAAAAATAACACGGAATGGGAGGCAGGGATTCTCTCTGTAAAGTCTCCAGAGAGACTTGATCAGTATTCTTGGGTTTTCAAACGTACACAAGGCTTTACCACAGAAAATCTGTTCTGTGATCACTTTTAAAGCATTCCAAAATGGTCAGGAATAGCTTTGGGATGGGACACAGCAGTTCCACAGCCACTGTGCTATAAAGAACTATAAAAGTGGAAAGTTGTGGTTGAAAACTGCAGCACTGAACCTGGGACTAGTCCAGAGCCAGGCAACTAAGCAGGATCTACCATGGGGAAGGCAAGAACACGAGCAGCAAAAAGGGTCACGTGCAGGAGTGAGAGGGAGACAAGGAAGGGGGAAAACAAAGCGCTGGGGATTGTGAGACTGGCTCAATCCCACTCTTTGCCCTGGATGCAGTGCCATGAGTGAGCTGTGGGTTATTCCCGGGGTTGCCCACGTGTGCAGGTCCCTGGGGAGCCCTGGTTTACCTCGGAGAGGCCCTCACACTGCACGTGGGCCTGGATCCACTCCAGCCTGTCCGAGTTCTCCTTCTCGCGCACGCCCTCGTTGACCTGGGAGCACAGCTCCTCGGCCTTCTCCAGGGCGTGCTTCAGGTGGCTGTGGTCAGGGTGGTTCTCAGGAGTGTTCTCTATTATCTGCAGAGACACAACACACATCATCAGGCTCCTCTGTCCCCTGCAGTCCAGCTGTATCTGTGCTGTCAGCCCCACGCTCCCTTCCTAGGGCTTTATTTCTGTCAGAGCCAGGCAATACCTTCCAAATATTTTCCCTTCTGGACAGATGTGAGAAATAGGAGACAAACACTATTTGGGAAGAGCTGGAATGAATCCCTGCCTGCACAGCCTTTGCATCAGGACACTGCTGACTCCTCTGACACAAGGACACACATTCCAGCCAAACACAGAAATAACGGCCACGACTCTCTAAGGAATCTCTTAAATGCCAACATCCAGTTTGTAGCCCTTTCCTTGGAAAGCCTTGGGCCAAGTTCAGTGGCATTATTTGGGATGGTCAGTGTTAGGCAGCAAATAAGAGTTAGGAAAGGGTTGTAAGTTATCCAGTAGTGTCAAAGGATGGGCACCTGCAGGAATTTGGCTTCCAGGCTTCCCCACCGTGACATTTCCCAGCCTATGGGGAGGGAATGACACTGTGGGAAAGGGAAATTTGAGCACAAGCTTGACTCCTGTTATCAGAATCTGAAGTTTTCCTTCAACATTCACTGCCTTGTGGGTCTTTGGGTGCAAGTCTCACCTCTGCTTCAAATGGAAACACCAAGTTGTGCTGAAGCCCAAGGAATTACCCCATTTTCTGTAGCTGGATCAAATACTAAAGGACACCCCCCCATTCCCCAGCACATCGGACATCCCACAGTGACAAAGCCCGACACGAACAGGGACACTCCCCTGTAATGAAGCTCTAAGCCAAGCAGCAGCAACCCCCCAGGTGTGCACAGGACGTACGTTTTTAATGATTAGTGGGTATCTGGTTACCCGTTGCATAGGCTTTAGCAGAAAACTGGAGAGTGGCATTCCTTTACAGCGAGGATCCATTGCCAACCTCTGAAACACCAGAGAGGTAAAACCTGGTTAGTCACGTGGTTTAAACCTGGCAAACGAGCTCCTCCAAGAATGGAAAAGGCAGTGAATGAGCACCAGTCCTCGGCTGAATCTGGGCTGAGCTCGCAGGACAGCACAGGGGAACTCCTTGTGCTTTTCCAACAGATCGTCACCTGCCTTGTCTGGGTAAGAATCCCAGAATCACCAAGGCTGGCAGAGCCCTTCAGGATCATCCAGTCCCACCCCAGCACCACCAGGATCATCCCTAACCCATGTCCCCAAGGGCCACATCCAGACACCTCAGGGACACTCCCAGACACAGGGACTCCACCACCTCCCTGGGACACTTATTCCAAGGCCTGACCGCTCCCTGTCAGGGGGTTGCAGAGCCAGAAGGTCCCCCCTGACCCTCCTTTTCTCCAGGCTGAGCCCCCCCAGCTCCCTCAGCCCCTCCTGCTGCTCCAGCCCCTTCCCAGCTCCGCTCCCTTCCCTGGACACGCTCCAGCCCCTCCATGTCCCTTCTCAAGCGAGGAGCCCAAAACTGAACCCCCCACTCCAGGCATGGCCTCGCTCAGCCAAAGGACAAGCTCCGTGTCCCGAATTCCCGGGGGTCCCCCCGCTCTTACTTTGACAAACTCCTTGAACTCGGGCACCTCGTCCGTCTTCTGCTGGATGAGGGCGGCCCCGTTGAGCTGGCAGCTGCAGAACCTGATGTAGGGCTGCATGTGGGGCAGCTGGGCCGTCAGGATGTCCCCGATCATCTTCACCGGCATCTTCTCCCCGGACATCTTCTTGCGCACCCGCAGGGCCCTGCAATGCCAGGTCAGAGCCGACATGAAAAGGAAGGTAATTTCCTTTTCTGTCGGTTTAGAAAGAGAGGGACAGAGGTGTGGGAGAGGGAGGGATAAAAACCATCGCTCTGAGCTCAAAGCTGCTTCTCCAGGTTTTAGCCTGGTTTCCTGAGGGAAGGAGGTTTATTGTCATTTGTTCTGTCGCTGCCATAACTCTTCAACTCGTGGGCCATTTTCAAAAGGTTTTACGAACAACAGGAGATATCACAGAGGTATAAAATCCCCACAAGTTCAGTGCAAATTAGCAGCTCCGTAGGGAAAAGAGGAACTTTACTAATCCTCCTGTTTATCAAGATCCAGGTTTAACTCCACCCTCGCTCAGTGTCTCCGGCAGTGACCAGGTGAGCAGCCTGCAAACCAGCCACAGCATTCCCTGTGTCCTGCTGGAGCAGAGGGATGGCTGAGGGAGGAACTGGATCCATCAGAGGCCACGAAGAATGAAGGGAGGGATAACAGTGGAGTCTCATGGCAGGGAGTTGGGGTTGCAGCAGCTGGAGCCTTTGGGAGGAAGGGTGGGGGGTCCTCTGGACACAAATCCATGGGGAACCAGGCTCTGGTGGTGCTGCTTGTGCTGTAACCCTACACTAATTAAAGGCCACACTAATTAATGGAATGCATCAGCCAGCTCGGAATAAGAGAGGCAGAGGCTGCTGTGCCTTGGTTTGCATCCATGGATAACAGGACTGGAAGTGGGTGTGGGCTGGGACAGAGGAGGGAAAAGTCTCTGACAGGGCTGGGGGAAGCCTTGGCAAATCCTGCTTTTCAGAGGAGAGCAGGGTCTGCCCTCTGGACAAGAAGAAAGTAAGTGCAAATATTTACTCAGCAAAGAACTGCTGTTTTTTTCCCAACAACAAAGTCACAGCAAACACTGTCCATATTTTGCTTTTTCTCCCAAGGAGAAACACGTGGCCCTTTTGGTTCTGATCTGTGTGCGTGGCAAATGTTTTCCTGCAGCTGAAAGGAGGAGCAGGGCAGAGGCCCAGGGTCCTGTCATTGCCAAGTATGGGGGGGGAACCCAACTTACTTCAGTAGTTTTATATTGCACATAATCAGCTCCTTCCAATTAACAAAAATCATGGCAACTTCTTTTTCTGTGAGCAGCTCAGATTCCAGGAGTGGCTTCTGGAAGATCTGTAGGGTCAGAAAATGAAGCTGTTTAGAATGTACATGTATGACCCAAGTGACTGAGGCTGATTTAGCCCATTTCCTTAGGGAGGAGGGGAGAAAACTTGCCCTCAGGGCAGCACTTGTCCCTCAGTGGGACAGAATTCCACCCTGCTCCATGTCCCAGACATCCACTGTGTTCCCTGAGAACAGCTGGGACTAAGGGGAGACCTCAGAGATGTGAGGGGCACGTGGCTTTAACAGGGAATACTCTGAGTTTGTGCTGCTGGTGGTGGTCATTCAGATCTGGAGGACCTGTTTGAAACTTGGGAATGTTAATTCTGATCTGGATAATCTGTTTGAAACTCGGGAATTTTAGAGAGAGGTCTCCTGCAGAAGATCTCAGGATTTCTTAGATAAAACACCTGAAATATGTTTTCCTGATTTCTCTCAAGGTGTTTCAGGTTTGCATATCTCCACCTCTTCTTCAAAACAGGGTTTTGCTTCCCTGTCAAAAGGATTGTCTGTGCTAATTCCATTTTTTCCTACATCAGGGATGTCCCTTGGAACACGTAAAGCAAACCACAGTAAGTGATAACTCAGGGCCACTGTGGGCGTGGAAAATGGGCTTCCTTTCAGGGCATCCATTTCAGTTTAAGGACTTGTACATGAAAAATCCACACTGAGAACCAGGAGCTTTGCTAAAATGACACTTCAAACATCAGCATTTTGGTGATGGTCACACCAGGGCTCAACACGAGCTGCACCTGCACACGTGGATCTCTAAATAAATAAATGTAATTGGCAGTCCAATACAGCTCATCCCAAGGAGGCCAAGCCTGGCAGGGACACACAGTAGTTTGGCACCATGAAATGTGGATTTGGTTCCAAAGGTGAGGGATTCAGGGGCTCTGCCTCACCTCTGTGACCAGCTGCAGGTCGGTGACGTAGTTCTCCTCGGTGACGATGAGCTCGTGGATGTAGCCCTGCCTCTTCCTCTCCGTGGGAGTCAGCATGTCCAGCAGATGCAGGTCTGCACACCCTGGAAAACACAACAGGATCCCAGGTTTTACTGCTGGTCACTGGCAAACTCCTCAGAGCTGGAGCAGGGACAGCACCACTGACCAGGAGCTGTGCCCGTCCCGGTCTCTCATTCCGGGGTAACCTCAGCGGTGCTTCCCCTCTCGGGGACTCACAGCATTGTTTGAACACCTTTCCTTAACAAAGGCCATCTCCAAGTGGGAACTTTTCCCTGGTGGCCAAGCTTTAAAGCCTCCCTCAGTGCCACCTGCCCATTCCCAGCCTCGCCATCCCCCTGAGCTGTGTCGTTCCACTGGAGCCCAAACCAACCCCACAGATGGCTGGGAACAAAAATGGGGGCAAAACCTTCCCGTGGTGGGAAGAAACTGCAGAGACATCCCAAGAGGGGAGAGGATTAGGGAAGAGCTGCAGTGACCACAACGCTCTGATGGCACTTTGGAGTGACACGTGAACCCTCAGCTCATGGACACTCTGAATTCCTGGGTCTCCTTTATCCTTCTAGTCAGGGAAATCCCACTCCAGAAGGTGCTGCAGAGCTTATTTACTTCTTCTCACTTAAAAATTGAATTAAAAAATTAATTAATTAAAAATTGCTTCCGAATATTTGAAGGACTGAATATTTGAAGACCCATGAAGGTCTTTGGAGACCCCTCAGATTTCCCAAATTTCCAGGCCAAGGCAAAGGGGTCGAGTTTGTTCTCCTTTAGAAGCACAGGAAAAGGTTGTCACTAAGAACTCACTTCCATCAGCTTTGTCCTTTAATTGTTGTAAATCACCTCCTGTCCAGATGGGAGAACTTTTGTACGAATTCCACAATCTCAAATTTTATTTTCTATTCCGAATTAGACAGAACATTTAATCCTTTTTTTTTCTGGAGGCCGTTACTTTTCAGGTGAGTTTAATGCAATTAATTCTTCTGAGACTGGAACACAGAATGTTGTCTTCCAGTTTTGACTAGTTTTACTACTTTTTGGCATAAAATACAACACATTTCAAAAAAAGCAACGGTGATTTCAAACAGGGGGGAAATATTTTGCTGTATAAATGATCTATTTCAACTATTTATACACCACCAAAATTCTCCAGTTTAATTCTTTCCCTCACCCCTCATCAAAGTCTGGAAAAATTCAGTATATTCCCCATGGAAACAAACTTTCCTTATGGACACATCAGACCCTGGACAACTCTTCCAGTTCTTTGCATACAAAGTTAATATTTAGGGAGTATTTCCTGCATTTTTAGCTTCCTGAATTAACTCAGGAGCTCAGACTGTGCCACTAAAAGGGTCCTCATGTATCTCCCTGATTTTCATGGAATGCCATCACCTGCTGCTTTAACTAATCCGTGCCCCTGAAAAGGGAATGAGAGATTTGACTTAAAAATTAACAAAAACACCCCAAAACTAAACCAGGCAAACCCAGAAAAGTAGATCCAGACACTCGGGGTTGTTTCCTCCCCGATTCTGAAGCTGGGGAGGGATCAGACTGGCAGCAGACACTGATAATGATCCCTTGGGATGCAGGACAATTGAAACTGAATTGAAACTTGGTTTGAAATGAAGAGCAGGTCTGGAACATTATCATTTTTATGCCAAAAGAAGCAAATTTTGGCCCATTGCAAAAGCCACAGATTTCACTTCTGTTCAGGAAATGTCTGATTTCAGAGCAGTTTCTTTGGTATCAGGTAAATCAGAGGTTTGAGGAGCAGAACCAGTTCTCCCCATGCATGGTTGGCTTCATGAAAAGTGAGCCAAGGGTTTGATTCTTTTTCCCTTCGGAATTTACTGTTCAAAGAATCCCATGACCTTGGCTTGAAGGGCTGTGTCCAACCAGCAGCCTGCAGAGGAGGCACTGACACCCTGAACAAGGAAATACTTCAGCAGCTCCTTTGACAGCTGGGATGCAAATGGACTGCTCTGAACTGCAACAAATGGTCTCCTCTTGAAAAACAAACATCTGGGGAAAATGGCCCAAATCTGAGCAGAATGTGCAGGACAGACTCTGCTGATGAAGGACTTTCTTCCTGAGGTGCACAAGTACTGAGATTTTTCTTGTCTTTGGAATAAAAACACTGAGGAAAAACTGGGTTCCTTTCCAAGTGGAAATGTCAGGGCTTATTTCTCATGGATGCCAAAGTACTTTCATGAACATCTGAATCCCACTAATCACAGAATCATGGAATGCTTTGGGTTGGAAGGGACCTTTAATATCACCCAGTTCCCACCCCCTGCCCTGGGCAGGGACACCTTCCACCAGCCCAGGGTGCTCCAAGCCCCATCCAGCCTGGCCTTGGACACTTCCAGGGATCCAGGGGCAGCCACAGCTTCTGTGGGCAGTTCTTTGCTACAATCAGAGTCAGGAAAGGCTGGGAAATGACAATGGATAACTTGGAATCACCAGCACAACTCCATCTGCACATTCCCCCCAGCCTGGCGGAATCACCCCCTCTGTAAGTGTTCAAAACATGGGGATGTGGCACTTGGGGATGTGGTCTGATGGTGGACATGGTGGGGGGGGTTGATGGTGGGACTGGATGTCATCCTAAAGGTCTTTTCCAACCTCAGGGATTCCATGATTCAATGTTTCTATTGAGCCCTTTCCAGAGTCTGCTTGGGGAGAATAAAATCCTCCGTGTGAGGGCACAGAAATACAACCCAGCAGAGTTAACCCGGCCCTGGCTTGGTGTCTAACACATCAGGTCACCTCTGAATTATGAGCCCTGAGCACTGATGGACAGAACCAGCAGATGAGCCACAAGCAGAGCCACAGATCCAGGGCCAAGGAACTGCCCAGGGCCAAGGAACTGCCCAGCCCAATTCTACGTGGTCTGCCACAACAATCAAGGGGCCATACAGGTTTTTCACTTGGGATCAGGAATGTGGGAGCTAAATCAAGTGTTCTCCGTGTTCCAACCCTTTATCAAACAATATTTTATTGGTTTTTCCCTTTCCTGGGCAGCCCTCCAGTCATTGCTGGGAGCAGGGACAGGACCCAGGGAAGGGCTGGAGCTGGGACAGGGCAGGCTCAGGGTGGATCTCAGGACAAGGTTCTTCCCCCAGAGGGTGGTTGGCACTGACCAGGCTCCCCAGGGCAGTGGGCACGGCCCCAAGGCTGCCAGAGCTCCAGGAGGGTTTGGACAACGCTCTGAGGGACAGGGGGGAGTGTTGGGGTGTTCTCAGCACTCCCTGCTCAGCTAAGGAGCAGTTTGTTATTTGCTGTTTGTGTCAATTCATCTGATTCAATAACATTTGAGGAGTATTGTCCCTGAAATTGGTGGAGTTGTCTAAAATAAAGTTTAAAATAAGGCTCTCATTGTCATCAGAGGAGACTGCACAGAAGCTGCTCTTTGCCCAGAAATCAAACAGCCAGAGCCAGCACAGAGCACCACAGAGGGCTTTGGAACCAGAGACCACAACCAGAATTAGTTATTTTGGGTCTGGTAGCACAATGTGTGCAGTGAGCTCACGGGGACAGCAAGTGATGCCACTGAAGCTCCAACAGGACCGAGGTTTAAATAAAACTGATCCCGAATATGAAGCAAAATGTTCTTGACAAACCCAGGTTTCAGACTCTGAGTTGTTTTGGACAGATTGAAAGTATTGAAAGAGATATGAACAAATTCCCTGAAAGAACACCCATGGGAATTTTTTCAGTTGAATACAGAGGGAATACAACAAAAACTGTGAAGAGCAAAATCCCCCAGCACTGGGAGTGGTCTGTAAATCCAGTCTCCTCTTCCCTCCAGGGGCAGCTCCTGCGCCCAGGACATGGCAGTGAATATAAAGAAGGAATTCACAGAATCCCAGGATGGTTTGGGTTGGAAGGGACCTTAAAGATCATCTCCAACCCCTTGGACACCTTCCACCAGCCCAGGTTGCTCCAAGCCCCATCCAACCTGACCTTGGACACTTTCAGGGCTCCAGGGGCAGCCACAGCTTCTCTGGACAATTACTTTCATACTCCCTTTCTCATAAAAAAAAATATATATATACACACAGAGAAAGAAAAATCCAGAAAGGGAAAGGAGTCAGTGCAGTCTCTTGTTCCCTAAGGCTCAGGGAATCCCTGACAGTGAGGAAGATGGAACACTCCCCTGCCAAGCTCTAAGAGCACACCTGGAACTGGAATCATGGAGGAACATTACAGGCATTCCAACAATGTCACTGTGAATCACAGCTGAGTATCTTTGGCTGGGACATGTTCAGTGAGGGGATTTCACACTCCTCTGCCTGAGGGGTCCTGGCACAACACAGCCCCGTGTCTCCTGTGCTTCAGGCTGGACACCAGGAGGAATTTCTCCATGGAAAGGGTGGTGAGGCCTTGGCAGGGGCTGCCCAGGGAGGTTTGGAGAGCCCAGCCCTGGAAGTGTCCCAGGAAGGCCTGGCCGTGGCACTCAGTGCTCTGGGCTGGGGGACAAGGTGGGGATGGGGCACAGGGGGGATCCATGGGCTGGGAGAAACCTGTTAAAAACATCCTCCTGCAGGAGATTGTAAGAGCTTTATTTTTCTTCTCACTTGAAGTAATGAGAAAGAAAAAAGCAGCACCTGAATCCCCCCCAGCTGAAGTATTGCAAATATTTCCCTACACATTCACTATATATTCACTCCATAGTCAATATATATTCACTATATTCAATGTACATTCACTGTATATTTCTGGGCTGAAGCCATAAAACCCAAAAAGCCCCTGAGGAGAAATGCTTTTAGTCAAGTGAATTTTTCAACCCCACAGCTCAGTGAGGGAAAACAGAGACATCCTGTCCTTCCAGTGACATTTAATGCACAAAATATCGACAGAGTGGGGTCCAATCTGGCTCCATCCTCCTCAGTGAGCAAAGCAACGGGCCCTGAAAATTCCAGGAATGAGCTGCTGTTCCATTTCTGCAGCATGATGGAGAAGAAGTGGGGGTTTTTTTATGGTAGAAATGAAAAATTTGTGCCTGTTAAATACTATCCTAAAAAAATTTGCGCCTAATAAACACTGTCCTAATGAAAAGTTTGTGTCTGTTAAATACTGCCCTGAAAAGGAGGAGGATCTGTGCAACTGTGCATGTTTTCAGAGTAAAACACAGAGCCCAAATCCAGGTGAACCCATGGGAAAACAAGGAAGGATATTTCATTTATCTACCTGCATAGTACAAAAAAAAAAAATAAAAATCAACGGATTTGTACCACGTAGAGACCCTGGAATAGGGAATCCCAGAATCCCAGGATCTCCTGAGCTGGAAGGGCCCCCAGGGATCATCGAGTCCAACCCCTGGCCCTGCCCAGGACACCCCAACAAACCCACCACGAGCACTAATGTTGCAGATAATGACCAGTCTGGTTAATTATATTTAAATAATACTCAAAGTGTCCCTGTGAAGCGAAAAGGGCTTTCCAGGCTGTTCTGGTGGTAAATCCATCCACGCTCCAATGCCCCGGGGTGGCCCCGGGGTGAGGCAGCAACGAGACAACAAACACGGGTGGGTCTGTCTTTTATACCAAGGATTTAATTCTCTATACATGGAACTAATTTTAAAGGCTGTATTACAGTTGTTAAAGCTGCAGGTTTTTATATATTTATATAATTTACATTCATAGTGATGAAATACTGAAGTGCAATTGAATGAGGAGCTTCACTTGTCCCTTGCACCGCAGGACGGGTCGGGAGGAGGGAGCTGGGAAGGGGTGGGAATGCTGCCAGCAGGGAGCTCAGGAATAAATGAAATACATAACCAGGGCATAACTAAATGGGAAATCATTAGTAAAGGGCTACATTGTGCTTGAGGCATTGGGAGGAGAGCACTGACAGCACCAGGAATTCCATCAGGAACTAACACGGCTTAGCTACAGCACATCTACAGCAACTCCACTGTAAGCTCCATTTAATATTAATTTGTATAAATTCCACAGTCTAAGTTTAAAAAAATGTAAACATTGGAAATTAATTGCAGGGAGATAGTTCTATACATTCTTTGTTGTCAGGAGAACGACTCGTTCGAAAGGTGTTGTTCCAGAGCAAAGCAAAACTGGGAAATCCAACGGCTCGGGAAACCAAGAGGTTCCTTCTCCACTCCCACAGGGACGAGCATCAGATCATTTCTGACACGAAAATGCAACAAACCAAACGGAGACAACACAAACCAGGGTGTTTTCTAACTGTTTGCAGCTACAAGTAATGTGCAAAATAAAATTAACACAACTGGGTGAAACATTTTGCAAGTTCGTCTCTCTTGCACCCGGGGGGAGTTTCCCCCCTCCACAATGGGTTACACACACTCAACAAGGAACACCTGATACAAACAGTACAATAACCACAACAAAACACCTGGCATTGGGCACATTGAACTCATTTTAACTCCTTCTGGTCTTTTGTCATTTAAAAAAAAAAAAAAAAAAAAAAAAAAAAAAAAAAAGAAAAAGAAAAAAAAAAAAGACATATTGACAACACTGGACAAGTGAACAATAAAAAAGAAAGATACATAAAGTCTCCAATTCATGGACATTTGGAACAATTTTAACAGCACATGCAGCATTCCTTGATAGTGGGTCTTTTTGCACAACCAAAATTGCAATGAAGAAATTTAATTTATGCTTTTCCTTCCAAAGGCTAAAATATATCTTTTTAAAAAATAATTGTTTTAAAACTACCCAAAGCACCTGTGCAAAGGTGGAAACATTAGTTTGGTAACTCTGAAAGCCACAAAAGGACCCACTATCCTCTGATTTTTATTATTTTTTTAAAAAATTTTATTTTTTTTGTGTGTGTGTGGTTTTGTGTTTTGTTTTGTTTGTTTGTTTGTTTTTTAATAATTAATTTTGCATCTATCTGCAGGTCATGAACTCAACCATTGCGATTCCATGCAACTAATGGAAAAATGAGGTAAAACTGCTCTGCAGTGTGTTCTTCTACTCAGAAGGCAGTAGATGATCATGCTGGAAGCCACATGATCAAGGCTGCATCTCCCATCATCCCTCTGGGCAGTGTTATGGGATAGTGGGTCTCTTTGAGGACTTTCAAGCCTGAGTGGGGGATGGACAACATATGATTCCTAGAAAAAGGAGGAAAACAACACATAAGCAAAACAAAACAATGAGCAAATTCAAGCAAGGAAAATGAGTCAGGCGTGTCGAGGGCATGGAGCAAAAATGATCGGGGAGGGGAGGGAGGGGAGGGGGGAAAAACATGCCAGGGGTGGGGGGGGAGGGGATGGGAACTGAAAATAAAACAACACAAAGGTTTGCGCTACTGGAAGGTCTTCAAAGAGACTCGGCCAAGGGCACAGAGGGGCAGTGGGGCCTGCAGACCTGGGAGCCAGCAATGCTGCATGTTTGACCTGAGAGAGCACAGAGACAGGGCACTCACACTGCTGGCTGGGGTCCGTGTCCGTGGTCAGCTTCACGTAGTTGGAGGGGAAGAGCCCCACGTGGCCGTTGACCTCCCCCTTCCACCAGTCGGGGTCCTCCCTGTTGAGCACGGTGATGATCTGCCCCTTGCTGAAGGCCAGCTCGTCGTCGTTCTGCGCCGTGTAGTCGTACATGCCGATCACCTGGCACACTGAACACAGCCCTGTCAGCCACTGCGGGCAGGGACCACCAGCCACCACCTGGGACAGCCCTGGCCCTGCCCAGGACACCCCAACACTCCCCCCTGTCCCTCAGAGCGTTGTCCAAACCCTCCTGGAGCTCTGGCAGCCTTGGGGCCGTGCCCACTGCCCTGGGGAGCCTGGTCAGTGCCCACCACCCTCTGGGGGAAGAACCTTGTCCTGAGATCCACCCTGAGCCTGCCCAAGGGCACAAAACAGCCACAAACTCTGCTCTGCCCCAGCCCAGCCTGACCCCTCCTGCCCCTCCTGGGGCTCAGCTCAGCCCTCCTCAAACTGGCTCCAGGTCATTTAAAGACCCGAAGAGTTTCATGGAATGCACAGACTGGTTTGGGTTGGGAGGGACCTTAAAGCTCTGAGAAACCAGGGCCTCACCACCCTCCCAGCCAGGAATTCCTTCCCAATATCCCATCTCTCCCTGCCCTCTGGCACTGGGAAGCCATTCCCCATGTCCTGTCCCTCCATCCCTTGTCCCAGGTCCCTCTCCAGCTCTCCTGGAGCCCCTTTAGGCCCTGCAAGGGGCTCTCAGGTCCTTCTGGAGCCTTCTGTTCTCCAGGTGAACCCCCCCAGCTCTCCCAGCCTGGCTCCAGAGGGGAACTTTGTCTGGAAATGCCCAACAGTGGAAGAAGATTGAAAAAATACGTAGTAAAAAGTCAAACCCTTCAAGGACATTGGCCTTCTACTGACAGCTCTCCTTTGCTTTATAAATATAGTTTTTTTCCTACAAAAGCATCAGTTTATAAAAAGTGCATTTTGCATCTTCAACAACCTGTTCTGAAAAGCAGAATCCCAGAATGGTTTGGGTTGGGAAGGACCTCAAAGCCCACCCAGTGCCACCCCTGCCATGGGCAGGGACACCTTCCACCAGCCCAGGTTGCTCCAAGCCCTGTCCAACCTGGCCTGGAACGTCCCACCAGGAGTGGTGGGTGGACAGGAAAACCTGGGAAACATTTGAAATTCTGGTATCTGAAGCTCCCTAATCCAAGAGAAAGCCAGTGGTGATGTCCCTGCAGTCTCAGGAAGGAGTCTGGCACACAAAACTCTTGGAAAAGGAGAGGAACAAGGAGCCTCCCAGGCCTTTCCAGCTGCCCTTCAGCTGCTCCTGCTCCATCCTAACTGAGCACCTTCCCTGGCTCTCTGAACACCAGGACTTTTATGGAAATAAACAGTTTCCTCTATTTCTCTCTGTTTTCTCTGGCCAAGCCACAGGACTGCTGGTATTTTCCCACCAGATCTAAGACTTCTATTACTGAGCCTTTCTGGCAGGTTCTCTCCATTGGATTAATCCTAAAATTTGCTTTTATTTTCACTCTTGTACTCAGCCAGGAACTTATTTTAATCTGCCAAAAAGCTTCTCTCTTTTTCACTCAATTATGATTTAATCAAGATTTCGATGCTCTGCAGGCAATGAAAAAAGGGTTTAAAACTTCACTCTGTAAAATTTACCACGTGGGAAAAGCCCCAGACTGTCAGACCTGAAATAATTTCAAAAATGGATATAAATGTATATAAATTCCCACCGTGTTGCCTTGTAAAAGTTTGTGTCTCAATGCTGACTTACCATTTTAACCCCAAATTTATGGTGGTTTTGGGAAGACTGATTTTCTGCATCTTTAGATTTCTATCAGAGGAGCCAGAGAGCACCAGTTAGAGAAACATGGAATCATGGAATATGATCCTCAGGGTCCTTTTCCATTCTGTGATTCCATGAAAAACCTCACGGTCTGTTGCTTTTGTGTCGTTTCCTAAACCTTAAAATACAGAAAAAAGCTCCATCTCCAGGGAGCACTTCCCACTCCCCTCAGGAAAAAGGGAAGGCTCTGAAGGGGAGGTGCCTCAGTGCTAAAAAACCTCTAAAAACCCTAAAAACCCCTCCTCTAAAGCTCTAAAAACTGCTCTGCTCTATGAGAAATAAACTATGAGTTTTTATAGATGTATCACAAATTTGTGAGATATCCAAGTGAAAATGTTTCGGGGCCACGTGGAAATTTTGTTCTCAGGGGTTTCTTTTCTCTCTTTGGGCTGAGAACAAGGGAAGGTCCATCGGTTTTGACAGAGGATGCCCAGCAGCCAACTGGAAGGAAGGGAAAGCCCCTTTTTCACAGGAGAGAAAGCTTTTTAGGCAAAAATGAATACATTAAACGTATCTGAAAAAGGGGTGGGATTTTGTGAAACTATAAAATGTCTGAGATTGAAACCCAAAGGGTCTTTTTCCCCAAAAAATTCAGTGAAAGACCCAGTGTGCTGAATAAACCCTTTGTTTCATGAGTTTATGACATCTTTCTAAATTTAAAAGAGGAATTTTAGGCAAAAATGAATACATCAAACTTATCTGAAAAAGGGTGGGATTTTGTGAAACTATAAAATGTATGGAATTTAAACCCAAAGGGTCTTTTCCCCCAGAAAACTCGGTGAGAGAAAGACCCAGCGCGCTGGATAAATCCTCTGTTTCACAAGTTTACGACATCTTTCTAAATTTGAAAGAGGAATTTTAGGCAAAAATGAATATATCAAATTTATCTGAAAAAGGGTAGGATTTTGTGAAACTATAAAATGTATGGAATTTAAACCCAAAGGGTCTTTTCCCCCAGAAAACTTGGTGTGACAAAGACCCAGCGCGCTGGATAAATCCTTCGTTTCACGAGTTTATGCCGCCTTCCAAAATTTAAAAGAGGAATTTTTCCCACAGCTCCAATCAGCACCAAGAAATTTGAACCCTGGAGGGCCAGAAAATGGAAGATGTCACCTCAGGAGTGGTTTTGGAGCATCCCACCCTTCCCAGGAACACACCGAGCTCTGCCCGCTCTTCTCAGCTCAAGGGAAAATCCACCCCCAGGGAGAACTGAGGCCAAGCCCCGAGTTCTTTTCGGGACATTCCAGGCGGGAATCCCGCGGGAAGAGGGGGCTCTCACCTGCGGGGGCCGCCTTGGGCAGCTCGGTGGGGGTGGTTTTGCTGGTCCCGGGGCTCAGCAGCTTCACGTAGTTGGCGGGGAACCAACCGATCTGGCGCTTCTTGCCTCGGGCCTGGGGAGAGAACGGGGCTGTCAGGAGGGGTCACACTTCGGGGAGCAGGGAACGGGGCTGTCAGGAGGGTTCACACTTCGGGGAGCAGGGAACGGGGCTGTCAGGAGGGGTCACACTTCGGGGAGCAGGGAACGGGGCTGTCAGGAGGGTTCCCACATCGGGGAGGAGGATTCAGCGCCTGGGCAAGGTGGGGACCCAACACTTGAGCTGTTGGCACTCACGGCAGCTTTAGAGCAGGAAAAAACTGCTGTTTGGTAAGGTAAAATCTGCATTTTGTAAGGAAAAACCAGCTGGTTTTGGCAGTAGTTGAACATTACAACACTTCCATTAGCATTTAAATGCTTAAAGAATTGAGTTTAAATCGATACCAGATTGTGACAGTTCAAGCAGAGATTAAGGATCCAAATCACCTCTTTTTCTTTTAAAGAAACGGCCTCTGAGCTTTTCAACACCTTGTGCCACCAGAGCGGGACAGAAACCTCCCCCTGGTACCTCCCCGACTGCCCTGGTCATTGAAACCAAATAAATTAAAAAATCCTGGCTGCGAGAAAGGTTATTCCACAACTCTGAACCCCATCTCAGCCTCTAAATCTGTGTTAAGAATTTATTTTAACTCTTTGTTCCCTGTTTGAGTCGTTAGAACAAAGTTGGCGTTTTGGGCAGGAAGAATTTTGCCTTTAAAAAGGAATTAACGTTAAATTTGAGGGAAAAAAAGGTCCTCTAACAGATTTACTATTCTTTAACTAGTTTGTCCCCTCTTTAAATCTTTACTAAAAAAGAAAACACTTGATCTAAAGAGCATCTAGAGCATTAATTTTAAGCTATTTTTGGATGCTGCATTAAACCAGTTTAAAACATTGGCCTTATTTTCCCTCCACTCTGACCCCCAAGTGTGGAAGAGGAGAATAAATAGAATATTTATAGAATAGTCAGGGGACTGATAATGAAATAAAAACCAGTTGTATCCCATTAAAGTATCTAAAGTCACACTGAATATTTACACAACCAAAAATGAATTGTTTTAGAACCTCCCAGCAGCTGCTCAGGGAGAATTGTGGCAGATCTTGCCCCGTGAGGCTTCTTTGCTGTCTTAAAATCCATTTAATGGAGACTTTTCAAAGGTAAAAGTTACCAGCAGCGTAAAGGTCAGTGAGAACAAATCCCTAAGGAATCCTGGAAGGTGCTTTCTCCACAAGAGATGAAAAAATATCCCCAGAAAAGGCAAAAAGGGCAGGTGGTAACGGGGGAAAACAATTAAATTCCTTTTTGAGCCTCTGCACTGTAAAATAAACCAATGACATTTTTTCACCTGATATTCCCTGTTAAAAAGCCCAAACCAAAACCCCTCATTTAGTGGGATCAAACTGTCAAGTTCTACTCTTAAAAAAACTCGGGGGGGATTCAAAAGCAGCCAAAACAAGCCCTAAAATCCACCTTTCTGAGGGAACTCCAGGAAAACACCCCATGGATCCCCTGCTGTTCCCCCTCCCAGGTTATTCCCAGATCAGGGATGGCCACGGGGGCATATTTTTGTAAATGTATTTTCTCTTTAAATGCTGAATTGCAGAACATTCTCAAAATGGTTCAGCATTTTGAACAACTAAAAAAAATAATCACCATTTTTTTTAACGTGGAATTTTATTACAATTAAAAAAAGGCACTAACTTGGAGCTCTCCTTCCCACCAACCACCTGGATTCTTCTTCCTGATGAGGATGAGCTGCCCAGGAGCCAGAGTGAGCTGTTCTGGGCCCGTGGCTGTGTAAGAGGCAATAACTTGGGCAATTTCTGGGGGAGCACAAGGGGAAGAAAAGGTTAATTTGGAAAAACCTGAACACATTCTATCCAACACTGACTGTGCTGCAATCACTGTGGCCTTTCTTTCCAGAAAATCGTGATGTCTTTGTGTATTTCCAGGAGTACACGTGGTAATTACAAAATAAATGAGAAGTTCAGGGCACTGCAGGAGAAAATAAATAATAAACCAAAAGAGATACAACAGCTCTACAGGTAGGAGATAAAAATATTTGAAATAGAGAATAACAATAACAAGAAAAATAACAACCACAGCTATACAGCTCTTAAAATCCAGTTTCCTAATACTGTTTTCCAGCAAATACAACTCCCTGAAATTCCATTTATTCGAGTCCAACCTTTGGACTGAGCTCCCTAAAAAGAGGAGCCACGTTGGTGACAGTCCAATGGGGTTGCACTGAGAGGTGCAAATGAATTGATTTTTCAGCCCCAGACCCCAAATGAACGTTTTCAAAGAGGATTTCTTTGGGAACCTTCATTCCATGGCCGCTGGCACAGAGAGGTGCTTTGTGTGACCCCCTTCCAGCCCGCAGGGACACGGAGCCCTGAGCTCACCAACCCCTCTGCAAAGCTCCCCCAGCACAGCCTGAGGTCTGGGCTGGTCCACAGTGCCTGGGGAAAGACAGAGAATTATTGTGGTCCCACAAAGGGAACCCAGTTTTGGAGCCAATTTGAAGGGACAGGAGGTTTTGGGCAGCTGGGTTTGGATGTCCCACCCACAGCTCGTAACTGAGTTCAGCCCTGGCCCCAAACCATGAGGAGGGGGAGGGAGGACCTTTAATCCACAAAAAGGGGGCTTAATCCACAAAAAGGGGGGCTTAATCCACAAAAAGGGGGGCTTAATCCACAAGAAGGGTGCTTAATCCACAAAGAGGGGTGCTTTTCCTGCTGAAAAGCCCATTTCAGGTGCCAGGGCACAGCAGGTAATCCCTCAGGTGTTCCCTGCAGGGGAAGCAAGAGCAGCAGGGGCAGCACAGCCAGGTCTGGCTGGAGGGAAGGAACAAAGGGAGCTGAGGCCTGACAGGAAAATAAACAACTGCTGAATTGAAATGGAGAAGCAAAGGATGACTGGGAAAATCAGAACTGGTCAGAGGAACTTCTGAGCTGCACAGGGAGGGGGCAGGAGCAGAGGGCTGAGTGATCCCAGGTCACCGGGATGTCGGGCAGGAGACAGGACTCTCCTGCTGGAAGTCTGCAGGCTCCTGCATCTGCAGGAATTCCATTTGAATTAATGGAATTCCCACAGAATTCCATCAATCCCTCCATCCTAAAGCCACTCAGGAGGCAGAATGAACACCAGCAAGCAAATCAATGGTGGGAGTTCCTCAAAAATCAGGAAAACCTCTCTTGCTGCCTCAGCAGTTCCCATGTTCAGATCACAATGGAAGAGCAAAAATCTGACACTTCTTATCTCTCTCTCAGAACAAGAAATTTCTCGTTTTTACCTACAAAATGTGGCTTACAAGGTATGAGCCACCCCCTGCCACCAACCAGCACCTTAGAGGGGTTTTACTCATTTATGTTAAATGAGTTACAATACAAAGCCCAGGTGTAACATTCAGCTCTTGCACATCACAGGGAGGCAGAAATTCAGGGAAAAGTGTCCAGAAAAAGAAGTTTAAAAAAACCCCAATGGCTTCTCTTCCACGAAGAACTTTCTCATTTTGTTTGTTTAAGTACTGAATTACCGAGAAGAGACTTCACAGCCACTTCCAGTGCTTAAAAGGGGTCCAAAAGAGCTGGAAAGGGACTTTGGATAAGGCATGGAGGGACAGGACAAGGGGGAATGGCTTCCACTGTTCTGTTCAGCAACCCATCAGGAAGTTTACATTCATTTTCGAGCAGACTTTTATTCTCTAGCTACCTGCTGTTTATGACTGACATGTCAGAATGATCAGAGATGATGAATTATTTCATTACAGTTACATTATTTATTAACTGCATTTATTACAGTTCTTTTCATCAGTGCAAACTACTACAAAATGACCAAGCCAAACATCCTTTATTTCCATGGGAAAGATTTTGTTGCCATTGAACTTAAACACTTAAGAACAGCCAGAAGGTGCTGTCACAACACAGGACTCACCAGGTTTCTTCCCTAAGCTTCCCGTTTTTCCAGCTGCTCCTGGAGCCTGGAAACAGAAAACAAGATGCAAGTTTAGCACTCAGGTTTATTTCTCTACTTACACATTAAATTTAACACACTAACCAAGCATGGAAGTAAAAAACCCACAGGAAGATTGTGTTTTTACAGAAATCCTTAATATTTCTGATGGCAATAAATACCTGGGAATAAACCCCAGCAGTGTATGGAAGTGGGTGACTCAGTGCAAAAGTGCAGAATTCTCTCCTGAACTTTTACTCCCTTTCATGGACTGCAAATATCAGTGTAAATGCAAATTACATCCCACTGGAACTGTGCATCTGGGAATCCACACAGTGGGAATTCTGTCCAGGTGAGTTAAACCAACAATAATTGTTTTCAACTCTACAGTTGGATTGCAAATATTCCTGAGAAACTCACTGCACCCAGACAGGGTGGGATGAGGGATGAACATCATCATCATCATCATCATCCAGGCCACGAAAAACCCAGTAAACCCTGGAATTAGTCCAGTTCCTGCTCCCTAAGTAATTCCTTCTGTTTTCTCCTGGTCCATTAACCCTCTTATCTCCTGCTATAAGCAGGTTTCAGATGGATAACAGCAACAGAAACCTGAACTGAACCTTGGTCAGAAATGTTGGGTCACCATAAATATCCTCTTGCCTTCAACACTTCCACCCTCCTCAGCTTCACCTTCTTCACCTTCAGGAGCCTCCTCACAACCTCCATCCAACAGCCTGAAGGTTCTCTCAGAATCCCAATTCCTCTGGGGAAAAGAGCCACTTTCCTCCTCAGGATTCTCCCTATTAACCTGATGCTTTGAGAACCTGGGGATTCTGGCAGAAACTAATACAAGGAGTAACTAAAAAACAGTTCAATGGCTGAGAGAACAGGGCTATTGGGAAAAAAAAAGTGTGTTGGTTTTGGATGGCTCTATAAAATAGATTATTAGAGCTCCTGAACCCCTCTTGGAGTCTCAGTGCTGCTCTCCTGTCCCTGTCAGACACCGAGTGCAGTCACACTCCACGAGGGCAGCAAACCTGCCCTCCCTCCCTGCAGTCCTTTGATCCTCCTCAGTTCCTCACCCTTCTCTACAAGCACAGGGACCTGTCTTAGCAAGAAGAGTGAACCAGGAAAGCATCACCCAGAGATCAAATACTGAGTTTAGGTCTGGGGACAAGGACAAGGTGGGCTCCACACTCCCACGGGGGGAGGGTTAAATGGTGAGCAACAACTCAGATTGAAAGGGGAGTGTTGGGCATTAATTCTGCTTTGGAAAGTGTTTCTTGCAGGGAAACACCCTGAGTGAAACCCAAGGGTTTGGACTTTCAGAGAACACACTCCTCCAAAACACCCCTGAGTCAACACCCGTGCTGCTGGATTGGAAGCACATCTCTGGGGCTGGGACACTGTCCTGCAGCAGCTGGGACACAGGGGGGTTATTGGATGGGATGGGACACTGTCCTACAGCAACTGGGACACAGGGGGGTTATTGGATGGGATGGGACACTGTCCTGCAGCAACTGGGACACAGGGGGGTTATTGGGTGGGATGGGACACTGTCCTGCAGCAGCTGGGACACAGAGGGGTTGTTGGGTGGGATGGGACACTGTCCTGCAGCAGCTGGGACACAGAGGGGTTGTTGGGGGG